ACAAGCGCTCACAGGCGCTAGCTGCCTTCCCCACAGTGCCCCAGTCTCAGAGTACCACCTTACCTCCACCGCCCTTCTGGGACTCCCCACGCTTTGGCCTCTCTTCCCATCCTTCCCTTCACAGCTTTGTTTTCCCATTCTCCCTCCAACCAAGAGAGCATTCCTACTCACGTTCTCTCTATACACCAGGGGCCCACCATTGCAATGAAAGGAAAATGCATGACCTCTCTCCAGCCCATGAGATCAGGGACCATAGACTCATCTAGTAGTTTAAGCTGCAAGTTAGGCCACCCGTGTTCCACCGTGAAGTGCCTGTGATGTGCACCGCCCCTCCCCTCTGGCCCCTGCCTCCAGCTTCCCTAATACAGATCCTGAGAGTCAGCAGTGATAGCTCAAGTCATGGGGTCCCTGCCACCCATGTGAGGGGCCGGGATTGGGATCTCAGCTCCTTCTTGGGTCCCTCTCCCCGCCACTCCTCACCCCCATCTCAGCCTACTGCTGGCCACTGCAAGGATTTGGAGTGTGAAGCAACAGATGGGCTCGCTCTCTCTCTCTTTCTTGAGTGGAATGCATAATGAAGGGACATGTGAATAACAGAATTGCACACATCCGGAAGTGGCAAGGGTGAGGGTGGGGCTGTCGGGGCTGCCTGGACTCCCAAGCACCCAGTGTGGTATGGCCACATCCTCTTCTTTTTGGGAAGCCCAGCCCCGGAACACCTGCCTGGCCCATGGGGCTCTTGTTTTAATTCTTTGCATGTGTCAGCTTTGCATGATTTTACCATACCCAAGGAATGAAAAGGTAGATTTGTGCTTGTCGCTCAGAGGCTCACAGCCCAGGACTTCGGAGGCCCCGGGGTTCTGGCCTCTGGTGGAGCCTTGTGATGGCCCAACAGGTGCAAAGGGGCAGTCACATAATGGAGCCAGGATGCAGAGAGAAGCTCAGCCAAACTCAGCCTAGCCCACCCAACGTCTCGTGAGAACTGCCTCTGAGGACAAGTCCCCAGAGTTGTTGTTGTTGTTATTACTATTATTATTATTATTATTATTATTATTATTATTATTATTATTATGAAGAACTCTGATTAGCCAACTTATTTTTTTTTTTTATTGGAAAGTCAGATATACAGAGAGGAGGAGAGACAGAGAGGAAGATCTTCATCTGATGATTCACTCCCCAAGTGAGCCGCAACGGTCGATGCTATGCCGATCCGAAGCCAGGATCCAGGAACCTCTTCCGGGTCTTCCACGTGGGTGCAGGGTCCCAAAGCTTTGGGTCGTCCTTGACTGACTTCCCAGGCCACAGGCAGGGAGCTGGATGGGAAGTGGAGCTGCCGGGATTAGAACCGGCGCCCATATGGGATCCCGGGGCGTTCAAGGTGAGAACTTTAGCCGCTTAGGCCACGCTGCCAGGCCTGGCCAACTTATTTTTTTTTTTAAAGATTTATTTTTATTATTTTTTTATTGGAAAGGCGGATATACAGAGAGGAGAGACAGAGAGGAAGATCTTCCGTCCGATGATTCACTCCCCAAGTGAGCGCAACGGCCGATACTATGCCGGGCCCTGGCCAACTTATTTTTTAAAGCACTTTTTTTTTTAGCCAAAAGCATTTCATTATGTAAATTTCCCAACATATGTAAAAGTAGAGGACAAAATAAGAAAGACATTGGGGCCCGGCGCTGTGGCGCAAGTGGTTAAGGTCCTCGCCTTGCACGCCCGGGATCCCATATGGGCGCCGGTTCTAATCCTGGCAGCCCTGCTTCCCATCCAGCTCCCTGCCTGTGGCCCAGAAAAGCAGTCGAGGACGGCCCAAAGCTTTGGGACCCTGCACCCGCGTGGGAGACCCAGAAGAGGCTCCTGGCTTCAGACCGGCATAGCATCGGCCGTTGCGGCTCACTTGGGGAGTGAATCATCGGATGGAAGATCTTCCTCTCTGTCTCTCCTCCTCTCTGTATATCTGCCTTTCCAATAAAAATAAAATCTTAAAAAAAAAAAAAAAGACATTGACACCCCCCCTTCATAGCTCAGTAATAACTAACATTATTTGTTTTGTTTTCTGTTTATCATAATGATTTGAGTAAAATAGTATATTTGCATCATTTCACCTGTGAATACGGCATCATTTACAAGCAAACACCTGAGCGGCCAGAGTGCAGGTCTCAGACCCAGAACAGACCTTGATAATAAAGACCCAGGGCGGTGAAGCACAAACCGTGTCATGTGACCACCGCACTGTGCAACCCGAGGAGGGAGGGGCACAGATGAGCAACCCAGCCTGGAGAAGTCCCCACTGTGAGGGGCGGAGTCAGGATGGCACTTTTGAAGGCAGCAACTGAAAGAAGAGCCCAGGTCAGACCTGCTCTACTGGGGACAAGTAAGGAGAAGTGACCCTCCCTTGGTTACGCAAAGGAGCAACAACACGACCATTTTCCCAGGAGTATCGTGGAGTTCCTCCAGATACAATCCAGAGAGGCAAGCCCTCGCATCTGATTGCTTTCCCAGGTCTGCAGTCCCAGTCTTGCAGTCCCTCCCTCCTCTCTACCTCCTCTCTGCTTCATGCACTGAGTCCGGGATGAGCGCGTCTCAGCCAGGGCAGGGGGCAGACACACAGGGCCCTGTTCTCTCCTACTAATCCTGAGATGAGCCATGTTGACCCTGTGCAGGAAGTTCAGGAGCCACGGGGACCAGCTGCAGATGGAGCATGATCTGGCTGGCCAGTGGTCATCTGTGCCAGGTTAGGAGCCCAGCAGAGAGGGTCACATGGGAGGTCTGGCTGGAGAGCACACGAATTAGGAACACAAACATCTTAGCATTTGCATCTTTGCTGACTTGCCCAAGCAGTGGAGAGAGGGTAAGGAATACAGACATAGAGGAGCCATGCTTAGGGGCTACCTGTCCTCAGAAAGCCAGAGAGCAAGCAGGTACTGGGGAGGCTAAGAGTCAAGACAGAAACACAAAACCAAGAGAGAGCGGGGCCTCTCCATAACATGGGCCTTTATGGGGACTTGCGAGGGGGGGTGGCTATGCAACAACACAACACAGCCTTGCTCAGGTTCTAGGTGACGATAGGCAAGCGTCACAGGTGCGCAGAAAGGACCATGTAGGTGGGGGAGGTGTGCCTCCAGAACTTGTGACCCTGAACTAGCTGACCACAATACTGGAATGCAAGAGAAAGATCACCAACAGGTGGTTAAATTAGCAAAGGGGGCCAGAGGGAGCTCGTGTGGAAGCCGATGTGGTAACAGGAAATACTTAGACAGGAAGAAGATATCCTGCACATAGCAGGTGCAGAGGAGTTGAGTACCTTGCTCAAGCTCCATGACTCAGTTATTTCATCTGTGAAATGGGCATACTGTTTCCCTATCCCCCAGGCATGTTCCTGATCATAAATAGTTCAGACCCTGTGGACCAGATGGTTTCTGTCCTCACCTACTCTACTCGGCTCTTCTAGCGGAAAAGGAAGGGGTTGGGCTGTGTTCCAAAACAATTTTATTGCAAAACCAAGGGCCGAGTTGCCCCCGATGCCCAGTCTACGATGTGTCTCCCGAAGCGACTGGTAAGAAGTGACAGAAGTGATGCCACTCCAGGGACTGGACTGTGCAGCACTAGGGAAGGGCTGGGGGCCGCGGATGTGGTCCTAAGGTCAAGTTCACAGCCCCCTAGGCAGAAAAGAGCGCTCCCCGACCAGCAAGGACTGAGGCCTCACAGTCAGAGAAGGCACCTGCTCCCCTCAGGGCTGCGCCACAGGCCGCTCTGGGGCCCAGGTGGGGTTGCTCTTCTTTCCAGAGTGACCAGAGCGCCAGGCTGCGTGGCTGCGAGGCTCTCCCCGAGGCATCTTCAGCTCCGCGGGACCACCGATTCCACCCGCCCTTCATCCTCCGTGATCCGTCCAAGCCCCGCCCCTCGCCACGCCCAGCAGCTAGCCTTCCACAAGCCCCGCCCCTCAAACCGCCTATCTTGGGCTAGGCCCCGCCCCAGGCCACGCCTCCTGGGCTCCGACCTATAGGTAGCTGAATATCAGGGCTTGGCTCCGCCCTCTTCAGGTCCTGCTTCTGAAGTTCCCGCCCCAAGAGCCGGATCGACGCTCTTCGGCCTAGCCCCGCCCACTTTGGGCCCGTCCCTCAAATCCCCCAGAGCCGGAGGGGTGATGATCTTTGGCTCAGCCCCGCCCCTGCAGGACACGCCTCCTCAGCCCCGACCTATAGGCAGCTGTGCACTAAGGCTTGGCCCCGGCATCTTTAGGCCCCGCCCTCAGTCCCACAGCCCGTTGGCGGAGCTTGGGCCTGGCCCCGCCCCCTTAGGCCCCAGCCCCCGACGTCTCCGCCCCCAAGGCCCGGCCGGCGTGCTTTGCGGCCTTTCCTGCGTGCCCACGTGTGGCGGCGTCCTGGACTGCAGCGGAAGAGCGGGTGAGCAGTCTGAATGGCGGGCGTCCTTAGAGCAGGCCGGGGACGTGGCGGGGAGCCTAGGCAGCCCAGGACAGAAGCCTTGCCCGGCTGCCCCGCTGCTGGAGGCCCGCGGTCCTGGGGGCGGGGGCCGGGCGTTACCGCCATGGCCGGAACACCGCCTTTCTTCCTCATCACGGGACCCCGTGGGTTACGGGGCGGTGACTGTGCACGAAGTTCATGGAATTGTCGGACTCGGAACAAGTATCCAGTAGCAACTGGGGCTTCCTTTAAAATCGCGGCTCGTAGGGCCTCGCCTTGGGGCGGTTAATGGCAGTGGGTCCTTGGTCCTTCGGACTGAGTCCCAGTTCAGCTGTCTGCCGCTGTGGTCAGGCACACGTTCATTCATTCATTCATTCATTCGCTCATCACAGCCGAGCCACCGGCTCCTGCGTAGCCTGTGAGGCACAGGGACACCTGCCAGGCCGAGGTGGGCTGGGATCCGACCTGTTCCTATGTTGTCTGCTTCCCTGAGGACGCACGGGGTCCAGGAGGAGAGGGGTTGAGTCTGGGGGCTGCAGCGTCCGCTGATTTATTTTTTTTTCCTGCTAGGTGGTCTGCAGCCACCCAGATGGCTGGCCCCTTGTGGTGGGCCGCCGCTTTTGTCCAGCGACACAGGACGGGCCTCCTGCTGGGAGCCTGCACAGGCCTGTTTGGGGCTCAAGTCTCCTACCACCTCTTCCCAGACCCGGTGGTCCGCTGGCTCTACCAGTACTGGCCTGGGGATCAGCCGGCTCCACTCTCGCCTGAGCTGCAGAACCTCCTCCAGGAAGTACTGCATGACCTGGGTGTCCCGTCGGGACATCGCTACAAACCTTTCACCACCTTCACCTTCCAGCCCGTCAGCGCTGGCTCCCCAAGACTTCCTGCCGGGGCTGTGCTGGGAATCCCAGCCAGTTTCCTGGGAGTCCCAATGACCGATCCTGACCGTCCTGTGGTGGTCCACGGGCACAGAGTGGACTGGCAGAGCCCAGCGGGGGCCCGGCTAAGGGATGCTCTGACCCTGTCCCACGACGCCCGCAAGTTTGCCTTGGCCCGGGAGGTGATGTACTTGGAGAGCAGCTCAGCTGCCCTGCAGGCTGTACCCGCCCCTGCTTGCCTGGCGGGAACCTGGGCCCTGGGTGTGGGAGTCAAACATGCCCTAGGGCTCTACGGAGGTCCCCTGAATCTTCGAGCTGCCTTCAACTTGGTGGCCGCCGTGGCCGGCTTCGTGGTCTATGCCTTCTCAGCGGACTCTCTCACTCACGCCCTGGAAGGCTGGCTGGACCGCCGTACCGCCTCCCTGTCAGCAGCCTATGCCCGCGGTGGGGTGGAATTCTATGACAAGATCCTATCGGGTAACCTGGCCCTGCGCAGCCTCCTGGGCCGGCGCGGGGAGCAGCTATACACTCCCAGTGGGAATGTGGTCCCCAGACACTGGTTCCGCATTAAGCATTTACCCTACACTGCTCGCCGGGACTCAGTGCTGCAGCTGTGGAGGGGGACGCTGCACCCAGGCCAGTCATGAGTGCTGGCCTTACCCTGCACACTGCCCTGGGCTCTGCACCCACAGGCCCAGGTTAACAGCCCCCTAGGTGGTGTCCCATGAAGCCAAGCTCCACTGGGGAACACAGCAGCCTGTGAACCAGCTCCCAGGACAGAGGCTTGTGTGAGGTCTGGGACACAAACAGGGAGCTGGGCACACCTCTCCGCCCCTGGTGATAGCCACCACTGTGAACTGTCTGGCTTCCCAATGTGCCTGGAGCCTTAATCCCAGTGGTAGAGCTTAATAAAAGGTGCCAGAGGCCATGATGGGACACTGGTGCGTGGGCCTGAGGCTTCTGTAAGGTGGACCTTTAAGGGACTGTGTGAGTCAGAGTCTTGCAGATGTATGTGGGTACAAGGCTGGTGGGCACCAGGAGAGTGCCTGGACCTGACGGGATGTGGGTGAAGAGGCATTCTCAGCAACTGGCTGAGGGAAGAAGAAAAGCAGGCCAGAGATCCTGATACGATCTAGCCCTGGGGCAGGGAGGAGAGAGCAGGGCAGTGGCTGGCTGCTGCTGTCCTTGTCCTGCTTGCTCTGCACCCCCTGGGCATGGTTAGCACCGTGCAGAGCCTGCTGGCACCATGCCCTCAGACCTACACAACCATGAGCCAAATAAACATCTTTCCTCTACATGGTGGCCTGGGCCCAGGCATCCTGTTAGAACAGCAGTAAGCAGACTGATACAAAAAGGTAGAGGGGAGAAAGCTCCTGGCATGTCGGCTTTATGCCAGATCACACACTGTGCCTTGCTCACGGTGCAGCCATGCCTCCAGCAAGTGCAGACAGCCCCAGGAGCAAGGAGGAGATTCCTACCTGACCCTTGCTGGCCCCAGTGCCTCAGGTCCAACCAGTGTTCACAGGACCTGCTCAGCTGGGCTCCCTGGGGCCGCTGCCTCATGCAAAGCCTGACAAGGGCATATAGACTTTAATGTTTTAATTATTTTTTTATTTGAAAGGTAAATTTTACAGACAGGAAAACTGAGAAGATCTTCCATCTGCTGGTTCACTCTGCAAATGGCTATAATAGAGCTGACCCTCTTCTGGGTCTCTCATGTGGGTGCAGAGTCCCAAGGCTTTGGACCATCCTCTACTGTTTTCTCAGGCCATACACAGTGGATCAGAAGTGGAGCAGCCAGGACACAAACCAGCTTCTATGAGGGACCCTGGCACTACAGAACAGAGGATTAGCCTGTGGCACCATCACAGCAGCCCCTATTTTTAATTTTGTAAAAGGCAGACAAGTCAATCCTGTGCTAGCTCACTCCCCCAGATGCTTACCACGTTTAGGGCTGGGGCAGGCCCAAGCTAAAAACTGGAAACAGAAAATGGGGGCTTCCAGCAGAGTGACAGGGACCCAACTACTCAAGTCATCACCTGTTCCCTACGTGCCAGGGTGTGCCAAGGCTAAAACCCAAGCACTCCAGTGTGGGATGCAGTGTCCCATGTGGCATCTTAATTGTTAGATCTAGCACTTCTTTAAAAGATGATTGTTTTCTAAGTTCCAATGTTGGGAGTCGCTATTCAAACACCAGCAATTTCTGTGAGTCTCCAGAGCAGAGGATACAGTTAAAACAGTGCCTGTATCCCTGACCCGTGGGTGCTGTTGTGGGCTGATGATGGTTCAAAAATCCTGCACCTGCAAGTGCCAGCATCCCATATGGGTGCTGGTTCATGTCCTGGCTGCTCCACTCCAATCCAGCTCCCTGCTTATGGCCTGCAAAAACAGTAAAGGCTTAAAGCCTTGGTACCCTGCACTCGTGAGAGACCCAAAAGAGGCTCCTGGCATCAGATGGACTCAGCTGCACCCATTGCAGCCATTTGTTGGAGTGAGCAGCAGATAGATCTTTCTCTTTGTCTCTCCTCTCTGTAAATATGCTATTCCAATAAAGATAAACAGGTAAGAAAGGAAGGAAGGAAGAATGGAGGGATGCCAGGGCCAGTGCTGGGTTTCTTCTGTTTGCAGGTTTCCCAGGTCAAAATGTGTTCTAGCAGTCTAGAAAGCAGCCCAAATGGGCTATGCCATCGCCACATTGTTAGAAGCAGAGATGGATGAATCTTCCATCTGCTGGTTCGCTCCTCCAGTGGCAGCAATGTCCAGCCCTGGGCTAGGCCACATCTAGGAGCTTTATCCTGATTACTCATCTTCTGCCACTTTCCCAGATGTGTGACTCCGCACTGGCCAGTGCTGGATGTGGGCTCTGGCTCTGCCATCTGTGCTTACAATCACTGTCCCATTGAACCAGGTGAGCAAAAGGCAGCAAGGAGGCCGTTTGTGTGTCTTTGGGATGCAGCCAGGACTGGAAGCTCCCAGGAATTCGAATAGGGGTGCTGCTCTGTAAAGCATCACAATCACTGTTACAATTGGGGCCACTCTCAAGTCCATGGGCAACGGCCCCTCCCCCTGTCAGAGCTGAGCTCCCAACCTGACTCGGGCCCAGAGGTGCTGCATCTGCAGAACTTGCTGGAAACTGGCCTCTGGTTTAACAAGGAAAGCACCCACTTGAGGTGTCACAGCACCTGGACTTAGACACTGAGCTCCCTAAGAAGGTACTGGGACAACAGCCTCTGGAGAAAGGCCTCCCCAGCCACACTCAAGGAGACCAGGGCAGTGTCCCAGGCAAGGCGCTGGGCCGGCTAATGGGCCATGGCAAGCGCACAGCATGGTTGCAGTTACACTTGCTCCTGTGCAGCCCAATCAATGGTACTAGAAGAGTTTTTCAAAAGATTTGTGGGAGATGGCATGAAAAGATAAGTTTATTTTGGCACACACAAAATCCATGAATACGAAGGCTCTTCAGAAAGTTCCTAGGAGTGGGGGCAGGGATCTTTGCCTACAGTTAAGATGCTGGTTGAGACCCCCACATACCATATCAGAGGGTCAGGGTTTGGCTCCCGACTCCAGCTCCCCACCAGTGCAGACCCTTCGAGACAGCAGTAATGGCTCAAGTGAGGCCCTGCCACTCACGTGGGAATCCTGGATTGAGCTCCCAGCTTCAGCTTTGACCCAGTCCTAGCCGTTCAAGGTGAGAGCTCTCGGTGTTTTGTCTCTGCCTCTCCAATCCATAAAATTAAGCAAAGATGAAAAGCTCCTGGGAAATGCACGGGAACACGATGCATGTGGTTCACAACTTTTTTACGGGCAGACATCGTGACACAGCAGGTTAAGCTACTGGCTGGGTCACCTGCATCATGTGTCAGAATGCCGGTTCAAGTACCAGCTGCTCCACTTCCAATCCAAGGAGCGGAAGATGGCCCACATACTTGGGCCCCAGCCCACCCGTGGATGAAAACCAGATGGAGTTCCTGGCTCCCGGCTTCAGACTGGCTCAACTTCAGCTGCTGTGGCCATCTGGGGACTGAGCCAACAGATGGAAGAGCTCCCCCTCTCACTGTCTCTCTGCCTTTCAATAAATGAATCTTCAGAGGGCGGGGGATCTTTTTTGTCCCCAAATACTTATCTTCTAATTTTACTTTTCCAAAAACTTTTTTTCCTATTTTTTTTTTAAGACAATGAGAGATCTACCCACTGATTCACTCTCCAATGTGAACCGCAACTGGGACTGAGCCAGGTTGAAGCCCAGAACTTAGTTGCAGTCCCCCCATGAGTGGTAAGAAGCCGATTCTTAAGCCATCATCGACTGCCTCCCAGGGTGCACATTAACCAGAACCTGGATGTGAATGCAAAGCCAGACTCTGATACAGGATGCTAGCACCCAGGCAGTGTGCCATTGCTGTGTGCCCAATGCCATCCTTTAACAAACTTTCCAAAGCCCCCCATGTATTTGTTGGCACCCAGGTTGACTTTCCAAGCCCTCGAATTGGCAAAGGTGTCGAATTGTCCTTGACTTCAACGACAGGTATAAAGACCAAGATCACCTTTCACCACCAGCAGGGCCTGCCTCACTTTTGCAGGTCAGTGAGCTGGCCGATTGCCAGGCTAAACTCAGCGAGTCACGAGGGCCCACTCCGGTTCCAGGTCTTGCGAGCAGCTCTCTGGGTTGAACTCTGAATGTGCTAGATCATTTACTGAAACAGGAAAGGGCTGGAGGCAAGGTCCTGAGAGACCAGAGAATCAATTTGCAGGGGCCTCTCCCAGAAGCATTTGGCCTCCCTTCCACATCACCTGCCTTCTCTGCACCTTGGTTTTCCCACTATGTAAATGACAGTGATGACAAGACTCACCTCCTGGGATGGTTCTGCGGACTCAGTGAGTTCATATGTCAAAAGCACCTTGAACAAGCAAGTGCCCAGCATGGACTTGAAACCTGAGAAAGTCCAACCTCATTTGGATTCATCAGTCATGGCCCAAGGCTCACTTGTCAGGAAGTGACTTGACTCCAAGCCGGCTCAGCATGACCCTTTCTGGACCAGTCTCAGGTGACAGAGATGTGAGTCAGGGTTGGGAGCAGTGCCCAAAATAGCGTTCTTGAATGCCTGGCAGGGCCTTCATAGCGCTGGGACCCCAGTAAGAGACAAGGCCTCATCACTCCAGTCTTGTCCTCAGGACCTACTCCAGTTAGGGTGCCTAGTCGCAACTGGACAGCTGGAGGAGGGTCAGGCTCACTGATTGCTGTGTGCTTGTGCCTGGTTGGGTGAGAGGGGCAGGGGCTTGAGGGCTGCAGGAAGTGTGCACAGGGGCTCCTGGCTTAGAGGTGCCCTGCCCTGACCTGGACCCCCCTGCCAACCCTGGATGCCTGCCACTTCCTCCAGCTCCCAACTCCCATTTGACCTGTTTTGAATCCGGCCCCCAACCCCCCTGCCAGCCAGATGAATGTCAGGAGCCATCTGTTGTCTAAGCAGGTGGCACCGCCAGGAATGCACTTGCATGCACATGCCTCCTTTCTATGCTGCCTCAGTGAGCTCTGCAGTTGAGCAAAGGGGGAGAATTCAGCAGAGCTCAGATCAGCTGAAGGAAGGTGGAACTGACTGCCCAGGAGCAGGGCACGGGACAGAAGCTGAGTGCATCGCAGGAAGCCCAGGGAGCAGAAGTGCCTGGGGCCTGGGGAGGAAGCCAGGGATTCCAGCAACTCAAAATGGTACCAGGTCCACATCACCCAGGTGAGGCCAAGGCCCTTGCCACCCCTACACAGTGGCTTTGCCCCTTGGTTTGTTTTGCTCAGTCTCTTGTATCCATGGTGGTTGCATACTAGATTCCTACAGTAACCTTTAGATCATTATAATGTCATTATAATAGAATTACCATGGTTGGCACGCCCACTCCAACTATGCACCTGACCCGCTGCTCTCATCATGTACCTGAACCTGTCTCCCATCATGCACCTCATCCCCCCAGTACCGTCATGCACCTGACACATGACGCTTCAGAGATTTCCAACAAAAGGGACATGAAAATGGACAGTTAACTCCTGTATTTGTAAACTGCCACTCATTCTCTTCCAATCAAGCTTTTCACACTCATGCCTTGAGTGTGTACTTTTGCTTTACTCAGTCTTGCTTCCTCACTTATCTTTACTTACATCTCTGAATC